CTCATGCATGCAAGGCAAGCGTTCTACCACTGAGCCAACTTCCCAGCCCCCTATGTTTAGTTTTTTGAGGAATTTCCAAACCATCTTCCAGAGTGGCTGTATTAGTTTGCATTCCTGTCAGTAGTGCAATTTGGTTCCTTTTCCCCACATCACCACTCATCATGTTATTGTTGATATTCTTTTTTTTTTTTTCCTTTGTTTCAGTAGTGGATGTTGAACTCAGTACCTGGGCACTGTCCTTGAACTCTTTTGCCCAAGGTTAGCTCTGTACCACTCTGAGCCATAGTGCCACTCCTGTTTTCTGGTAGTTAATTGGAGATAAGAGTCTAACAGACTTTCCTGCCTAGGCTGGCTTTGAACCATGATCCTCAGATCTCAGCTTCCTGAGTAGCTACAATTTCAGGCGTAAGCCATCAGTACCTAGCATAGTTGTTCACTTTTTTTTTTTTTTTGGGTCGGTCCTGGGGCTTGAACTCTGGGCCCGGGCGCTGTTCCTCAGCTCTTCAGCTCAATGCTAGTACTCTACCACTTGAGCCACAGTGCCACTTCTGGTTTTTGGGTGGTTTATTGGAGATGAGAGTCTCATGGACTTTCCTTCTCCGAGCTGGCTTTGAACCACAATCCTCAGATCTCATCCTCTTCAGTCGCTAGGGTTACAGGCATGAGCCACCAGTGCCTGGCTATAGTTGTTCATATTCTTGATGCTAGCCAATCTTCTTGGAGTGAGATGGAATCTTTGTTGTTTTGATTTGTATTTCCTTTATTGCCTGCAACATCAAAAGCCTCTGATCTGGTAACCTAGTCTCTTAATTTTGGAGAATTGATGTTATGTACTGAGGATTGTAGACCCAAGTCTTAATTCACAAATAGAACACATGGGGCTGGGAAGGTGGCTGTGTGGTAGAGTGCTTGCCTTGCATGCATGAGGCCCTGGGTTCAATTCCTCAGTACCACATAAGCAGAAAAGGCTGGAAGTGGGGCTGAGGCTCAAGTGATAGAGCTCTGGTCTACAGCTGAAGAGCTGGGGGACAGCACCCAGGCCCAGAGTTCAGGCCCCACAACCGACAAAAAACAAACAAACAAACAAATAGAACACATGGGAGATTGATTTATATGCCAGGATGTCAGTGGACTAATCCAAATGAGGAGCATTGTCTGGCTGAAAAACCTGCCATTGTTATTTCTCAGAACAGCTTCATCCTTGGTGGCTACCTCTACTCAGGAGACCGAATTATGATTCAGGAATTAAGTGAATGAGGTCTGATCCAGAAAACTAGCTTAGGCTGGGAAGGTGGTTTTGTGGTAGAGTGCTTGCCTAGCACACAAGAAGCCCTGGGTTCGATTCCTGTATAAACAGAAAAGGCTGGAAATGGCTCTGTGGCTCAAGTGGTAGAGTGCTAGCCTTGAGCAAAAGAATCTGAGGGACAGCGCCCAGGCCCTGGCACTGGCAAAAAAAAAAAAAAGCAAAACTAGCTAGTGTTTGCCTCCAGAAAACATGTTGACTTTTGTTCTCCTGAGGCTTTGATGCCCCACCTTTCTCACCTGCAACTGTGCTGGAAAAATGTGCATGGAAAAATGGTAAATCATCCAGCTGTCCTTGGATTGCATATGTCCCACCTCCGTCTCATTTGTCTTTATGTGTAGATGATAATAGATACTTTATTACATCTTACTAGCAGCATGTTTATAAGCCAGATTTTGGGGGGAGTTACTTCTAAAGATGGCTCACTTCATATGCTTTTATTATTGCTTACTAAGATTTGAACTCAGAGCCTGTGTTTTCCCAGATCGCTTTCTTGATTGACATTCTACTACCCAAACCATACCTCCAGTGCTGCTTTTGATAGTTACTTTGAAGTTCAAGTCTCTCAGATTTTTCTTCCTAGCCTGGCTTATAGCCTCTAGAGCTTGGCCTCCCAAATTTTTAAAATTTATTGTTGTTTTAAAGGTGATATACAGTGGGGTTATATTAACGTACATCAGGTAATAAGTGTATTTCCTTATGCATAGTGTCATCTGTTCCCTCATTCTCTCCCATTCCCTCTCTCCCATCTGTACCCATAATTTGCATAGTTCACTTTCATCAATTTCCAGTGCATTCCATTGCTGCACTTGAACCTTTTTCCTCAGATGCTGTGCCCTACCTCACCCTCTCATAGATGTGCACGTGAGTACACCATATATGAGGTAAAGAATACAGTCATCAGAAGTGGCGCTGTGGCTCAAGTGGTAGAGTGCTCACCTTGAGCTGAAGAGCTTAGACAGTGCCCATGCCCAGAGTTCAAGCCCCACTACGGACCAAAAAAAAGAGAATACAGTCATCAGTAAAACAAAACACAAATTAAGAAAAAAGTCCTTTGTTTCCGTATCTTTGAAGTTTGTTTCGGTATGTATATTATTTTACATACATACGAAGACCACTTGCGTATTGCACATTTGTGATTCTCTCCTAAGACTGTCCTCTTTTGGTCTCACTGTATGTGAGTATCTAGAATCCTGTGTAATTTGTCATGTCGCAGTGCATTTTAGATCTAACTTCCTTATATTAGGGAGAACATCCCCCATTTGTCTCTTTGATCTTAGCTTACTTCACTTAACATAATTTGTTCTAGTTCCATCCATTTCCCTGCAAATGACATTTTTCTTTCTAATGGCTGTGTGAAATTCCATCATATATAGATACAACATATTTTGGACCCACTCATGTTTTGTGGGGCATTTGGGTTGTTTCCATATCTTGGCTATGGTGAATAGTGAGGCAATGAACATGGATGTGCAGGTGTCCTTATTATATCCTGGCTTGTGATACCCAGGGTAGATGACAAGAAGTGGTATGGCTGGGTCATAGGGAAAGTCTGCGTTTAGTTTTTTTGAGGAACCTACAGACTGCTTTCCAGAGTGGTTATACTAGTTTACCTTCCCACCAACAGTGCAGTAGGGTTCCTTTTCTCCCCATCCTAGCCAGTATTTGTTGTTACTAGAATTCAAAATGTTGGTCAGTTTAATATCTCAGGGTTGTTTTGATTTGCATTTCCTTTATGGCCAAGGATAACGAGCATTTCCTCATGAATTTCTTTGCCATTTTGTCCTGTTTTTCTGAGACATCTCTCTTCAGCTCCCTTGTCATTTAGTAATTGGTGTCTTAAGTTTGGGAGGGGTTACTTTCTTGTGCTCCTTGTATATATTGGATAGTAGGCCTTTGTCTGATGGATTGCTGGTAAAAATCTTTTCTAAATTGGTTGGCTATTTTTTTTCTTTTGTGGGGCTTGAACTCTGGGTCTGGGTGCTGTCCCTCAGCTCTTCAGCTCGAGGGTAGCACTCTACCACTTGAGCCACAGCACCACTTCTGGCTTTTTCTGCTTATGTGGTGCAGAGGAATCGAACCCAGGGCCTCCTTCAGGCATGCAAGGCAAGCACTCTACTACTGAGTCACCTTCCCAGCCCTGGCTATCTTTTTACTTCAGTAAGTATGTCCTTAGCTGTGCAGAAAATTTTTTATCTTAATGTAGTCCCACTTGTCAATTCTCTCTTCTATCTGTTGTGCCCTGGAACTCTATTCAGGAAGTTTCTTCCTGTACCTATAAGTTTTATTGTCTCTCCTCCTCTCTCATGTAGTAGTTTCAGAGTTTCAGGTCTGATGTTGAGGTTTTTGATACACTTTGAATTGATATTAGTGCATGGTGACAAGCAGGGATCCACTTTTAGTTTTCTGCATATGGCTGCCGAGTTTTCGCAACACCAGTTGTTGAATTGGCTTTGTTTTTTTTCTAATGTTAGGTCTTTGGCTTCTTTGTCAAATATCAAATGACTTTTTTTATCTCAGTAAAGAACGTCATTGGGCCTGGCACTAGTGGCTCATGCCTGTAATCCTAGCTACTCAGGAGGCTGAGATCTGAGGTTTGTGGTTCAAAGCCAGCCTGGGCAGGAAAGTCCATGAGACTCTTTTGTTGGTGGTGGTGGTGGTTGTGGGGCTTGAACTCTGGCCTTGGGCACTGTCCCTGTGCTCTTCAGCTCAAGGCGGGAACTCTACCGCTTGAGCCATAGCACCACTTCCGGTTTACTAGTGGTTTATTGGAGATGAGAGTCTCACAGTCTTTCTTGCCCTGCTGGCTTTGAACCGAGATCCTCAGATCTCAGCCTCTGTAGCTAGGATTACAGGCGTGAGCCACCAGCACCTGGCTTCCGTGAGACTCTTATCTCCATTAAACCACCAGAAAACCAGAAGTGGCGCAGTGGCTCAAGTGGGACAGCACTAGCCTTGAGTTGAAGAGCTGAGGGACAGCGCCCAGGCCCAGAGTGCAAGCCCCATGACAGACAAAAAACAAACAGACAAACAAAAAAACATCATTGGGATTTACATGGGGATTGCATTGAATTTGTATATCATTTTTGGCAGTGTGCCCATTTTTGCAATATTGATTCTACCTATCCATGAGCATGGAACTTCTTTCCATTTCCTGATAATCTCTTTGATTTTTTTTTTTTTTTTGTCAGTCATGGGGCTTGAATCCTCAGATCTCAGCCTCCTGAGTAGCTAGTATTAAAGGCATGAACCACTGGCGCCTGGCTCTTTGATTTCTTTCTTTAGATTTTTACAGTTTTCTCTATAAAGATCTTTTACATCTTTGGGTAGGTTAATTCCTGAGGGTGTTGTTGTTGTTGTTATTTGAGGCTATTACAAATGGGGTTCTTTCCATGATTTCCCTTTCTGGTTGTATATTGTTGGCATACAGAAAGGCTACTGACCGGCTGGGAAGGTGGCTCAGTGGTAGAGCGCTTGCCTTGCATGCCTGAGGCTCTGGGTTCAATTCCTCAGCACCACATAAGCAAAAAGAAAAAAGCCGGAAGTGGCGCTGTGACTCAAGTGGCAGAGCGCTAGCCTTGAGCTGAAGAGCTGAGGGACAGTGCCCAGGCCCAGAGTTCAGGCCCCACGACCAGACCCAAACAAAACAAAACAAACAGGAAGGTTACTGATTTTTTGTGTTAATTTTTGTATCCTACTGCTTTTCCGAAGAGGTTGATCAGCTCTAGGAGTTTGGGGGTGGAGTTTTTTGGGTCCTTTAGGGTACCTAGCTCTTTTATATTGACTCATCATTCATTGCATTTAGTCTTTAGAGTATATTTTCTGGCCTTAAACTCCAGTTCTGGGGAGGGGTGGGGGTAAATATAGAGGCCTACATACCTGTATGCACTATTATTGATATTAACAGACTTGTGTTTAGCTCCCATACGAACTTTTTTTTTCTTTTTACTAGTCCTAGGTCTTGAACTCGGGGCCTGAGCACTGTCCCTGAGCTTCATTTGCTTAAGGCTAGCACTCTACCCCTTGAGCCACAGCACCAATTCCAGCCATTTCTGTTTATGTGGTACTGAGGAATCGAACCCAGGGCTTCATACATGCTAGGCAAGCACTCTACCACTAGGCCACATTCCCAGCCCCTACCATATGAACTTTTTAAAAAAACGGTGAGGAGGAAGAATAATGAAATATGTGACACAAAACATGTTGAATTGCAACATTAAGTAGTTTGTACAACTACTTAAGGATAAATAGAAATCTAAACAGTAAAAACAAAATGGTGCAAGCTAGGGCTGGGAAGATGGCACAGTGGTAGAGTGCTTGCCTTGCATGCATGAGGCCCTGGGTTCGATTCCTTAGCACCACATAGGCAGAAGAAGCTGGAAGTGGTGCTGTGGCTCAAGTGGTAGAAGAGCTGAGGGACAGCACCCAGGCCTAGAGTTCAGGCCCCATGACCGACAAAAAAAAAAATAATAATGATAAATTAAAATGGTGCAAGCTAGAAGTCTTCTGCAAAAGAAGTCATAAAAATTTTTTAAGAAATCACTATTTTTTTTTTTTTTTGTCTGTCATAGGGCTTGAGCTCTGGGCCTGAGCACTGTCCTTCAGCTTTTCAGGTCAAGGCAAGAGCTCTACCACTTGAGCCACAGCGCCACTTCTGGCTTTTTCTGTTCATGTGGTGCTAAGAAATCGAATCCAGGGCCTCATGCATGTGAGGCAAGCACTCTATCACTGAGTCATCTTCCCAGCCCAAGAAATCACTATCAAAAAAAGATAGAGCTGGTGCTAGTGACACACCCGTAATCCTAGCTACTTCGGAGGCTGAGATCTGAGGATCATGGTTCAAAGCCAGCATGGGCAGGAAAGTCTATGAGACTCATCTCCAGTTAATCATCAGAAAACTGGAAGTGGTGCTGTGGCTCAAAGTGTAGAGCTCTTGCCTTGAGCTGAAAAGCTGACGGACAGCATCCAGGCCCAGAGTTCAAACCCACAACCAACAACAACAAAAAAAGCCAGGCACTGTCGCTTATGCCTGTAATACTAGCTACTTAGGCTGAGATCTAAGGATTAAGGTTTGAAATCAGCCTGGGCAGGAAACTATATGAAACTCTCTTAACTCCAGTTAACCACAAAAAAGCCTGAAGTGTGGCACAAGTGGTAGAGTGCTAGCCTTGAGCAGAAATGCTCAGGAACAGTGTCCAGTTCAAGCCTTAGTGCAAAAACAAAAACAACCTACAAGTCTTGGAATGTAGTAGGCTTGTAGTAAAAGAAGTACAGTTGGTCTAGAAATTCTGTAGAGCAAAAGAACAGTTTCTATCTTACATTCTAGGAAATGAAAAATCTTCCCCCAAATTATCCCCTGTTCTGTTATCATTCAGCCCACACCTTTTTGTTGTTTAAGCACCTCACAAGAACTCATTACCTGGAAGAAAGGTCATTCTGGAGGCTGGTGGTTTTGGCACTGATCTTAATTCAGTTGTTTAAACCATGTACCTGCAGGAGCAAGACTAGAGTGGTGCTCAGGAAGAAGGAAATAGCCCTGTTCAGAACCAAACATGTTGCAAAATGTAGAAACATTCCCATCCCTTATGCAATACTATTTCCATGGTTCTGTTATCCTTGTCAGTGGCTCATGTTTGCATGCCAGGACACATCATGCTGGCAGAAGCTTGCCAGCAGAACCCACATTGAGCCCTTGGGCAGCAGATGACAAAAAACAAAACAAAAATAAGTCCACACCTGAGATCTCCTTGTCACTACATTGAACTTCACTATTGTGAAGCTTTGCATCTCTCTCCTTTGGCTGGGTTATTTCTTATTTTATTTTTTTCATTCTTATACTTTATCTTTCTCATCCTTCTTCCTCTCCCCAGCACATCGTTTTCTCTCTCCATTGTAAGTAAGGAAGACTTTCTCCCTGATCTCTTGGAGTTAGAGATTTTTTTTTCTTCCATGTAATTCCTGCCCTCTGGGTTTTGACAGCACTTTCTTCTAATTTTGCACTTTGGACATCTAATAGCAACCCCTCACCTCAACACCAGTTACGAGATAACAGTTCTATAGAAATGTGAGCAGCAGAATTGCCTTGGCATCTGCAAGCCCAAATTCAAAATCTTGAGTGGAGAAGTATAAGAGCTGAAATGTGTTGAGTATTTCTGTTGTACCTGAATAGCATGCTAATCCTGTTGGCATTCCTTCTCCAGTCCCACATAGAAATCATCCATGGCCATGCAGCATTCACAGATGGCCCCCAGCCCATGGTTGAGGTCAATGGGAAAAAATACACCGCTCCTCACATCCTGATCGCCACAGGTGGCAAGCCCTCGCATCCTGATGAGAGCCAGATCCCTGGTGAGTCCTCTAATGCCATTTTTCATAAACACTGGTCAGGAGGGGTTTGCTGTGCATTCAGCCTTACAAGTTATACCATGGGATGTGCCTAGTCCAATTTTCCATTGAGAAAGGTCATGAGAGAAGGCTTCTGTGGAACATAAATTTAACTGGCTCTAAGTGGTAATTAATGTTGGGATAAAGAAAGATTTATGTATAAGGCATGATACATTAACTGTTCAAGAGAGAGAAATCTTACATAGGTATAGCTTACCTAGCTACCTGAATAAGCCTTTTTATTTTTGTGGTATTTAGGATTTAACCTAAGACTTTGCATGTTATAATAGGCACATACTCTGACATATGTTATCCCCTAGTTCATGTTTTTATTTTTATTTTGATATACTGGGCTTTGAACTTATGACTTCATGTTTGCTCAGTTAGTTTTCTGAACTGGCATCTACCACTTGAGCTATACCTCCACTGTGGTCTTTTCTGATTATCTTGGGAATGGAATTTAAATCTTTTCTAGATTTCAGCTTCTAGATTAGCTAGGATTACAGGCATAAGCCACTGGCAGCTAGCTTGTATTGGTTATTTTTGAGATAGGGTCTTGCTTTATGCCAAGGACTTTGATCCTCCCATTTGTGCTTTCTCATCTTGCTAAGATGACAAGCTCATGCCATTACATCCAGACATTTATTGAGAAGGAGTCTGAGAACTTTTTTTTCTGTGTGTGTCTCTGATCTCTCTCTTAAACATAGGGCCTGAGCACTGTCCCTGAGCTTTTCTGTTCAAGGCTATCACTCTACCACTTGAACCATAGCTCTACTTCTGTCTTTGTGGTGATTAATGTGAGATAAGAGTCTCACAGGCATTCCTGCCTGGGTTGGTATCAAAACCATAATCCTCAGATCTGAACCACCATTGCCTGGCAAGAACACCCTGTGAGAACTTTGTTTTTGTTTGAGCTGGCCTAACTATGATACCCTAACTGTGATTTCAGGCTTGAGTCACTCAAGCCTGAGTGCTTGGCTAAGCCTTTTTTTAAATGTCTGTATTTTGGTCTCATATAGGAAATTATAAAATTAGTAAAGATCCTCAGGGATGGTCATATTTAATCTCTCTCTTTTCTTTTTTTGGTCTGTTGTGGGGCTTGAACGCTGGGCCTGGGCACTGTCCCTCAGCTCTTCAGCCCAAGGCTAGTACTCTACCACTCGAGCCACAGCACCACTTCCAGCTTTTTCTGCTTATGTGGTACTGGGGAATCGAACCCAGGGCCTCATGTATGCAAGGAAGCACTCTAACACTGAGCCACCTTCCCAGCCCCTCATTCTTTTTTTACTTTTTTCTATTTCTGTTTGAGAACCACTACATCCCTGACCCATTTCTATTTGAGAACAGCTACACCCCTGGCCCTTCCTTACATTTTATATCCTTAGGAGCTAAGGCTTAGCGATGAATCATTAACATTCCAACAGTCTTCCATATTCTCTCATAAGAAATATTGTCCCACCAGACTCATACCTGTAATCCTAGCAACTGAAGAACCTGAGATTTGAAGATCTTGGTTTGAAGCCAGCCTGGGCAGGAAAGTCCAAGATACTACTATCTCCGTTTAACTACCCAAAAGCCAGAAGTAGAGATATAACTCAAGGAGGTAGAGCACTAGTCTTAAGCACAAAGCTCAGTATTAGCACCCACACTCAGGCCCTGAGTTCAAACCTCAGCACCAGCACCAAAAAGAAAGAAAGGAAGAAAGAAAGGAAGGAAGGAAGGAAGGAAGGAAAGAAAGGAAGAAATAAAGAGAGAGAAAAAGAAGGAAAGAAAGAGAAAGGAAGAAAGAAAGGAAGGAAGGAAGGAAGGAAGGAAGGAAGGAAGGAAGGAAAGAAAGGAAGAAATATTGTCCAGAAGAAAGAAAGATTGCTTGTGATGTTTTCCCCACAGAAATTACAAAGTCTTTATGGCATCATTTAGATGTTTTTCATATTCTTGGTGGCTTTGTAGAGCCCATGACCACCTGAATGTATATGGATGAGTGTGCATTGATGCACTTCTCTCTAGAGAGAAAAACTATAAATTGGTCATCAGATCTTAAAAAGGTCATAACCTCCAAAGATGAAGGTCAGCCACTGAAAAAGATGAGGGCATACAGTTCTCAAATAATTTAAAATTTAGTTGAGAATATTAAATATAAGCAGTCTTAGTAATACTGAGATTTACTGTAAACAAAAGGGAAAAGGTAGAATGGTATATAGTATACTCTAGTTTGTATCTTTCTGAAACTGATAAAAGGTCACAGGTGTATACTATAATAGGATACTTAGAAACCCAATAATCATCTGGCATGAAGCTCAGTGGGAGAACACCTATCTAGCATGTGTCAGACATCAAACCTGTGATCCTGCTGCCTCAGCCTCCTAGACACTAGGACTACAGGCGTATACCACCAAGCCTTGCCCCATCCAACTTTTCTAGCACTGAATTTTTGGGGGGGGCTTTTTAATTTTTTTCATTTAAGATATTCATCAGCATATGATAGTTGTACAGGGAGGGAGTGTTCAATATAATATATTCCAATCAAACTCATCCCCTCACTTCCCCCTTCTTAAAACAGTTTCAGCAGAGAACATTGTTCTATTTTGGTGTACTCATATGAAGACTTCCATCTTTTTTACCCTCACTCATTTTCTCTATAATCCCGAAATTCTTTTTTTTTTTTAATTTTATTTTATTTTATTTGTAAACATACTGTACAGAGGGGTTACAATTACATGGGCAGGATAATGCGTACATTTCTTACCAAGCATTGCAGCCTCCTCCTTTGTTTACCCTTCACATCCCTTCCCAGCCTCCCCCCACCCCCCCAAACCCAATCTTTCTCCTTCCCCCTCTTCCCCCCCCCCCAGAACCAACGTTGTAAAGCTCGTTTTGGACATGACAACTTGTACTTCTCATTGTTGCATCAGATCCACCTGTATCCTTAAACAACTGGTTTTTCCCCATCTCCTCCACAAGTTATACTGACATCAAATATAGTGAAAGCAGGGGTTATACTGTGGGGGAGGGACATACAAAGCAACAAAGAGATAATCTTATAAATGCGTTAGAAACACATGCATGAAAGAAAAAAACATTAAAATACATATCTAAGGGTTCATTTTCCTGACATCACATTATCTGACCTTTTCCGCTTGACTCAGACATATACTAGATATTGCAAATAAGGGAAACCATGGGACCTATGTTTCTTTGGGCCTGGCGTACTTCACTTAATATAATTTTTTCCAAGTTTTTCCATTTCCTAGCAAATGGGGCAATGTCATTCTTTCTGATGGAGGCATAGAATTCCATTGTGTAGATATACCACATTTTCTTGATCCATTCATCTACTGAGGGGCATCTGGGTTGGTTCCATATCTTAGCTATGGTAAATAATGCTGCAATAAACATAGTCGTGCTGGTAGCTTTAGTGTGGTCTTGTTTGTGAACATTTGGGTAAATGCCCAAAAGTGGGATTGCTGGGTCATAGGGGAGCTCTATGTGGAGTCTTTTGAGGAACCTCCATACTGCTTTCCAAAGTGGCTGAACAAGTTTACACTCCCACCAACAATGCAGTAAGGTGCTGGTGCCAAATTCTTGAGATTCATGAATCCAGAGAGAAACCTCTAAATGTATGGTGACTATGACAAGTAATTATTGCTTCAGTGCCAAAAATCTAAAGTGTTAATTTTAGAAAGGAGCCTGCCAGTGACTAGAAACAGAGAAACATAATGGATAGAAACTAGTTAGAAAACTGCTGCAAGTATTTCAGGGGATAGGAATATGCCTCTGAATTACTATTTGCACCAGGAATGTGATGGATGGAAATGTCACAGTCCAGTTCTAATGGTTTCTGAGAATGTATTCTATAGCACCAAGGCCTACAAAAGACAGAAGATGAGGGATCGGGTACTGTATCATTGGCTCCAAGACACATTTATAAAAAATAGTCGTCACCTCTGAGATGAAGCTGAGCTTATAATCATAATGCTTAGATAGGATAAAAATACTCCATACTTAGTAAGTGATGTGTTTTAATAATGGGTGGAAAAGGAATCAGATTGTCAACCCAGGCTTTGTCCAGATTACTGGGAGAAGGTGGTTCCTTTTATTGAAATGGAGAGAGATTGTGATTTGGAAGATAAGGTTTAATTTTAAATATATAGGTTGAGCAACTCTCACCTGAAAGTTCAAAATGTGATACCTTATCATGTATTTGCAAATATTCCAAATCCAAGAAGAAGTTTCAAGTACTATTCCCCCAAACACTTAATATGAAAGATATTCACCTGTGCTGAGTTTGAATCAAAGTAGAATTGCTCCACAGAACAATTAAATATATGGAACTGGAATTTGAGGGAAAACAAAACTGGAACTGTTCATTTGGATGTCCACCACAGTTTGGATGAAATTTTTGAAGAAAAGAAAAAGTCAAAAGAGGGCCAAGGCTCAGCTAATAGCTTCCTTCCTACATTTAGGGTTCAGGACATAACAGCCATGCAAGAGTCTATTCATGAGAAGTAAAAAGATCTTGATCCTTTAGAGAAATTAGACATTTAGCCTTCACTGCTACTGTTTTGAGAGAAAATTTTACAACATTTGCTCAAGGAAGTCTTGGTTGGCAGCTTCTAAAGTGGAGACTTTAGCAAAAAGAGTGTATTGATTGTGAAAGTGTTTGGTTCTTGCATAAAATATTGTGCTCATTTAACAAGATAAGCAGTCTTATCTGATCTGTATTGTGTTTATCTACATAGGTGCCAGCCTGGGAATAACCAGTGATGGATTTTTTCAGCTAGAAGAACTGCCTGGGTAAGTAGACTTGGCCTCAAAGATGCATTCTAGGAATCTTTATTCCTTTCTTTCTACCTTGCCCATCTATTCTTTTTTCCTCCTTTTCATTCTTTTTTTTTCCTTTTTCCTATTTGTGTGTGTAAGCACGCACATGTGTGTGTGTATGCATGCATGGGTGCCAGTACTGAGGCTGTTCCTTAGCTTCATCACTCGAGGCTAGTACTATACTACTTGAGCTACAACTCTGTTCCCGTTTGGCTTTTTGGTGGTTAATTGGACATTAGAGTCTTTCTGACATTCCTGCCCTAATTAACTTCAAACCTGGATCCTCAGAACACAGCCTCTTGAGCAGCTAGGATTACTGTGTAAACCACCATCACCAGCTGTTTTCGTGTATATGTATATGTGTGTGCCCATTCTGGGGCTTGAACTTGGGGCCTGGACATTGTGAGCTTTTTTACTTAAAGTTGGCTCTCTACCACTTGAACCACAGTATTTTGAGACTAGGTTGCTCAGGCTGGTAATGAACCCATGTACTCAAGTGATCCTCCCATCTTAGCCTGAGTTGCTGGGAATGTGGGTACTACACCCAGTAACATTTTTTCCTTCTAACATTTGTTGGAACTTTTAACTGTCCTACCTCTTTTTTTTTTTTGTCGTGGTACCTGAACTCTGGGCCTGGGCGCTGTCCCTCAGCTCTTCAGCTCAAGGCTAGCACTCTACCACTTGAGCCACAGGCCACCTCCAGCTTTTTTCTTTTTGCTTATGTGGTGCTGAGGAATCGAACCCAGGGCCTCATGCATGCAAGGCAAGCGCTCTACCACTGAGCCACCTTCCCAGCCCTGTCCTACCTCTTTTTTTGTTGTTGTTGGTCATGGGGCCTAAACTCTGGGCCTGGATGCTGTACCTCAGCTCTTCAGCTTAAGGCTGGCGCTCTACCACTTGAGCCACAGTGCCACTTCTGGGTTTTTCTGCTTACATGGTGCTGAGGAATTGAACCCAGGGCCTCATGCATGGAAGGCAGGCACTCTACCACTGAGCCACCTTCCCAGCCCCTCTTTTTTTTTGGTCAGAGGATGTTGCAAAGTATTTAGAACTCAAATCAGCTTGATTGTCATCAAGGGATGTGTCTAAAGTAACTGCTGTAATTCTGTAATTCTGTGTTTTCCAAAGCGGTTAGTAGAGAAGAGCCTTCATAAGTCTCTGTCACTGGGACTTGAACTCAGAGCCGTGTGCTCTACACTTGGTTTTTTCACTCACAGCTGATGCTCTACCACTTAAACCAGGCCTCAGTGTCCAGCTTTTTGCTGCTAAATTAGAAATAATTCAGTATCTATCCAGTCTGGCTTTGAAACTTTATCCTCAGATCTCAGCCTCCTGAGTATACACTATGGACCTGACTGACATTGTTCTTAGTGTGTATTTGTCTTAATAAAATTTTGGCATGAATCTAGATTTATAGAGGGGGAAATGGTAATAAGATCATTTCCGTCATTTGAAGGTGCTGCACACTGCAGGCTTTGGGGTTAGAGAGATCCTCCTTTCATTCATGTTAAGAGAGGAACAGTAAGAGCTACCTAGAGCCTTAGAATCTGGTCTCTCTCTATGTATGTTGTCCTCTGGAATTAGTATTGCTTAATCTGCTACCTGTTCTGTGCCTGTTGCCAAGCCTGTGTGAACTTCTAAGCAAAGCTTTTACAAGAAAAGCTCTCTGGGATTTTTCAGTGAGTAATGAGTCATGCCTGTACCTTGACCTTAATTCACCCAGAACCCTATACAGGTAACAAGACAAGAAAGCTGTTTTCCAGCTTCATAAATCTTCAGTGAAAATGCCCATGAAGTGGGGCACTGATGACTCACGCTTATAATCCTAGCTCCTCAGGAGGCTGAGATCTGAGGATCACAGGTTCACAGCCAGCCTGGGCAGGAAAATTGTTGAGACTCTTATCTCCAGTTAACCCCCAGATAACCAGAAGAGGCGCTATAGTTCAAAGTGGTAGAGTGCTAGGCTTCAGCAAAAGAATTTAGGAATAGTGCCGGGCCATGAGTTCAAGTTCCACAACTGGAAGAAAAAAAAAGTCCCATAAAGGTCTTCAAACTACACAGTCTTCTGACTTTGAAAAGTTCTGAGGAAAGTATATGGCCTTCTTAGGTTGTCTGTGAGAGCATGGAAATTAAGAGAACAGCTTTCCTTCCCCTACCTTCTTCCTGAACTGTTTAGTTTCAGGGTTGAGTGGTGCAACACGCGTGAGCATGCATCCAGAAATGCGGTCATGATTCATAACACTTAGGTGACATAAGTCAATCGAGACTCACCCACTATCCAGTTATAGTATGTCCACTAGCTATTTTAAAATCATTTAATAAACTTACTGACATGAATACAAGCTTCAGGAATGAATTTGTGTAAGTTATAAACAAAAGACTTGGGAACATGAAATGAAAAGGAATTGAGCTGGCATTGTTCTTTATGAGTGTTTGAGCTGGGTGTGGTGGTATGTGCCTGGAGGCTGAGGCAGAGGAAACCACTGGGCCTAGAAATATGAGGCTATCCCAAGCCACATAGCAGGTCTCTTATCTCCTGAAGATCTCAACCAGTCAACAATGAAATAACCAGGTAGGGTGGTTCACATCTGTAATTCTAGTCCTTGGGAGGAGTGCTTAGGCAGGAATATCATATACCTAACACCACACACACACACACACACACACACATATAAAATTTTGATGGTACTGAGGTTTGAACTCTGGACTTTGTTCAGAGTGTTACATCACTTGAGCCACTGTATCAGCCCTTTCCTACACTGGTTATTTTTTCCATAAGGTCTCAATTTTATGTTGGGGTCCAGCCTAGACTAAAACTTCCTATTTATGCTTCCACTAGGTTGCTGGGACCATATGTGTATGCCTCTGATAGTGTCCTTTTTTTTTTGGCCTAGACTAGCTTCAAACTGTGATCCCCTGATCATTACCTCCCAACTATCCAGGATTACAGCTTAAGCTACAAACCAGGTTATATTTTGCTTTAAAAGTTCCTTCCCTTTATTTCTCCTGAGAAGATACAAAAACTGTTGAAACTAGAAATGATTCTTTGTGCAATAATCCTTGCACCTAAAAGTATGTGTGTATACATGTATATGCATGAATACACACACACACATACACACTATCTACAAAGGAATATTTCCTATTTAAAACTGCAATGTCGGTGCTGATGGCTCATGCCTAAAATCCTAGCTACTCAGGAGGCTGCAATGTGAAGATTTGCAATTTAAAGCCAGCCCAGCAGGAAGGCTGTGATTAACCAGGAAAAATGCTAGAAGTAAAGCCATGGCTCAAGTGGTTGAGCACTAGCTTTGAACACAAAAACTCAAGGACAGTGCTCAGGCCTTGAATCCAAATCCCAGAACTGACACCAACAATAAATAAAACTGCAATGTGGTGTTTGGACAGAAAAGGAAATTGCAATTTTTTTTAAACCAGTCTTGGGGCTTGAACTGAGGGCCTGGGCACTGTTCCTGAGCTGCTTTTGTTCAAGGCTAGCACTCTACCACTTGAGTCACAGTACTACTGTGACTGGCTTTTTCTGTTTATATGGTACTGAAGAATTGAACCCAGGGCTTCATGCATGCTAGGCAAGCACTCTACCACTAAGCCATATTCCTAGCCTAGGAGATTGTATCTTGAGAGATAGAATAAAGGAGATGACTGAAAAAATCAGTCAGTAATAAGGTACTAATGCCAGTTTCTAGTTTTGACAAATGTACTGTGGCTCTAAGGGGAAACTGAGCAAAGAGCAGAAAGGAAATCTCATATTATCTTTGCAACTTGTTCACAAACCTAAAATTATTTCAAAGTCAATTTATTTAAAAATGTTAACCGTCTGCTCTTCAGCCGCAGTGTCATCGTGGGTGCAGGCTACATTGCTGTGGAGATAGCTGGCATCCTGTCTGCCCTCGGCTCCAAGACATCACTCATGATACGGCACGATAAGGTAAGTCCAGGCCTCTCCCTTCCCTGTCCTTAACTTTCTTCCTTTTTTCTCTCTCTCTTTCTTTCTCTTCCCTTTTTTTTCTCTCTCTCTCTTTCTTTCTCTTTCTTTTCTTTCTTTCTTTTCTTTCTCTCCTTCCTTCCTTCCTTCTTTCTTTCTTTCCTTCCTTTTCTTCCTTTTTTTTTTTTGTCGGTCATGAGGCTTGAACTCTGGGACTGAGCACTGTCCCTGAGACCTTCAGCTCAAGGCGAGCTCTCTACCGCTTGAGCTACAGCACCACTTCCAGTTTTCTGGTGGTTTATTGGAGATAAGAGTCTCAGGGACTTTCCTGCTGGGGCTGGCTTTGAACCACGATCTTCAGATCTCAGCTCCCTGAATAGCTAGGATTACAGGCATGAGCCACGTACCTTGGATCATTTCACAGGAAAGGCTGGCCCCAGATACTAAACAGAGGCAGAGGAGTTTTGTTCCCTAAACCTGGAAGGAGAGGAATAGGAAGATAGAGAGTCCTGAAAGTTGATTCTTCATTTTTTTTAACTCTATATAAAGCAGGAGTTGATAAAAGTCAAATGTAATACAGACACATAGTGGTGGCATAGGAAAATAGAATATTTATTGTAACTCTGTTTGCAATACAAGCAAGACCTAAGAAGAAGGCTGATTCAGTACTGAAATCTCTCTCAAGTTTCTATTATGCCATATCCATACACACATACATACACACACACACACATATATATATGTATACACATAAACAAACATGTACTATATTATACATACAAACACTGATGTTTTATTAAGATAAAAACATTGGTTTGTTTGAACCTAAAAAAATTGGTAATAGCCTGGCGTGGATGGCTCACACCTATAATCCTAGCTACTCAGGAGGCTGTGATCTGAGGATCAAGGTTTGAAGCCAGCCTAGGCAGGAAAATCCGTGAGACTCATCTCCAATTAACCACCAGAAAACCAGAACTGAAACTGTGGCTCAAGTGGTACAGACTAGCCTTGAGCACAGAGAGGCTCAAGGACAGTGCCCAGGCTCTTGAGTTCAAACCCCAGGACTGGCCAAAAAAAAAAGAAATCTAAAAGAAAACAAATTAAAATTAGGAGAAATAAAAGTTAGAAATGTACATTCTTCCTGCAACATATTTTTACCTCTTAGCCAAAAAATGCTTCTGAAAGAACTCTTTGTTTTCAGATGACAACACTCAGGGAAACAAAAACAAATTAATAGGGAGGCTGAAGGGAGGCACAGAAATAGAGGAACATAGGGTGAACAAATGCAGCAGTGCTACTCACTAGACACTAGGTTGAGAATGAACTGAGGTTGGGCACACTGGGAGAGAGCAATGGAAGGGGTGACATTGTCCAAAAAGAAATGTACTCTTTGCCTGACTTACATAACTGTAACCTCTCTGTACACCGCCTTTATAATAACAATTAAAAAATACATTCTGAAAACAATACAAAATATGTAACTACTATATACAAGATATTAAAAGTATATAATGAATGTAAAATATCTGATTCAAATATATAAATTAATTGCTTGACTTTGGACATATTGTAAAGATTTTTCTAAGTTTTTAGTGTGAAAATTTTTACATATATTGAAAAGTATAAGAAATACTGTCTATACTTGCATTTACATTTTTGACACTGAATTTGAAAATATTACACATCATGTAGCATGTCTGTCTTTATTTTTTATCTTTGAGAAGTTTGTAGCATGTCTTCACTCAACTTTTATTTCTTTGTCTCCATTCCTCTTCTGCCTGCCTTGTCTGCAGGTCCTTAGAAATTTTGATTCAATGATCAGTTCCAACTGCACGGAGGAGCTGCAGAATGCTGGTGTGGAGGTCCTGAAGTACTCACAGGTATGTGTACTAAGGGCCACGCGGAGCCCTTCCTCATCTGTTGCTCAGGGATCACAAGTCTTGCTTTTGGCTCTACTCAACTAGTTGTTCATTGTTGTTATTGTTATTTTTGTTTCCATTGAGGGAGGTGGAACCAGGACCTCACACATATCAGAAAAATACCTCTGAGCTACACTGCAGCCCTCAGTCTTGGGGCATGAACTCAGGACCTGGATGCTGTCCCTGAACTTCTTTCGCTCAAGGATAGCACTCTACCACTTGAGCCCTGCAGCTCCAATCCTAGCTTCTTGGGTAATTTATTGGAGATAAAGTCTCACAGATTTTCCTGCCCAGTTTGGTCACCAGTGTCCAGCTCCCGTTACTTGTTTTATAAACATAAACTCTGCATTTACCTCATTCTACTTCTAGACTACTGCCAATTTTTTTTCTTTCTTTAGCGCTGTTTTACATTAATGTGTTAATAGAGTGAAGGTATAAAAGTAGAAGCTGGGTGCTGGTGGCTCACACCTATAATCCTAGCTACTCAGGAAGCTGAGCTTTGAGGCTCATGTTCAAAGCCAGCTTGGGCAGACTCTATCTCCAGTTAACACCCAGAAAACCAGAGGTAGCACTGTGGGTCTAAGTGGAAGAGCACTGGCCTTGAACAAAAGAGCTCAGGGACAGTGTACAAGCCCCATGACCAACAATAACAACAACAAAAAAAAGATTAGAAACCTGGCAGTTGAATTTACAACTAAAACGTGGATGTTTGTGCTCCGGTGCCATTTTGCACCATTTTTCAAGTTTATATTCATTTTTCAGGGAATAATATAGAATCTTTTTTTTTTTTTTGCCAGTCATGGGGCTTGAACTCAGGCCTGGGCACTGTCCCTGAGCTTTTTTTGCTCAAGCACTCTTCCATTTGAGCCACAGCACCACTTCTAGCTTTTTCTGTTTATGTGGTACTGAGGAATCAAACCCAAGGTTTCATCCATGCTAGAAAAACACTTTACCACTGAGCCACATTCCCAGCCCCTGGAAATCAATTTTTAATGCATATAACAGTTTGAATTTTGTAGATACAGTTATCAAACACTTTTTTTTCAGAAAATCATTTGAAGTTCAGCAGACTTTTTTTAACCTTGTAAAAAATGCTTTTTCCCTACTGGGAAATGCTTCCCTTTCAGCAATAGACCATGTCAAATAAAATGATGAATAACAACAATGCTTTGTGGATGCAAAAATGCTGGTCTAGGGCTTTCATTAGACTGTATCATTGGCCCTCTGGATCTACACATCCAACTGTGGATTAAAAAATACATAGATTACACTGGGCGCCAGTGGCTCAAGCCTGTAATCCTAGCTATTCAGGAGGCTGAGATATGAGGATCAAGATTCAAACCCAGCCCCAACAGGAAAGTCCACGAGACTCTTATCTCCAATTAACCGCCAGAAAACTGGAAGTGGCTCTCTGGTTCACTTGGTAGATCACTAGCTTTGAGCAAAAACAGCTTAGTGACAGCACCCAGGACTTGAGTTCAAACACCACAACTGACAAAAATAAATAAAATCTATAGATTTATTAGTTATGCAAGAAGGATTTTTATTCATTCATTCATCTTGTGTCAGTCCTGGAGCTTGAACTCAGGGCTTGGGCACTGTCCCTGAACCCTTTTGTTCAAGGCTAGTGTTCTACCACTTGAGCCACAGCGCTATTTTCAGCTTTCTTTTGTGCTTCATTGGAGATTAGTCTCAAGAACCTTCCTGTTAAGATAGCTTTGAACCTTGATCCTCAAATCTTGGCCTCCTGAGTATCTAGGATTACAGGCGGGAGCAACTGGCATCTCTCTGGCTCAGGAAGGGAGGGATTTTATTGTTACTTTTCTATAGTATATACAATGTATTCAATCAGTCTCACTGCCATTGATTACTCTCCCTCTCCTCCCTCCTAAAACAATTTAAACAGATTGGATTGTTTTATTTTCATAATTGCAAGCAAACTATTTTGACAATATTCAACATCCTTCTTTTTGTTCACCCAACCCCTTCTTGTTTTGTGTGCTACTTTCCCCCTCCCCACAACAGAGCCCATCTGTCTTTGTGAAGTAAAAATATTTGGGAAAAGCCGGTGCCAGTGGCTCACACCTGTAATCCTAGCTACTCAGGAGGCTGAGCTCTGAGGATCACGGCTCAAAGCCAGCCTGGGCAGGAAAGTCCATGAGACTCTTATCTCCAATTAACCACCAGAAAACCAGAAGTGGCACTGTGACTCAAGTGGTAGAGCACTCAACCTTGAACTGAAGAGCTCAGGGACAATGCCAGGACTAGAGTTCAAGCCCCACAACAGACAACACACACACACACACACACACACACACACTCTCTCTCTCTCTCTGTCTCTCACTTGGGGAAAAAATGGTATCTGAATTGAACATGTACATGCTTTTTGTCCTTATTCCCTAATTAATAGATTCTAGTAACTTTTTTACATACTAGCATTTAGATTGGCATTATAAAGAATCTGAAGAGGACTTAACAGTGTTCAAGAGGATGAACTCTATGCAAATTTGTGCATATACTGGTCTATTTTATGTAAATGACCTTGGCATTTAAGGATTTTCATATCTGTGGAGGATTCTGAAATTAGTCCCCTGTAGCTACTAAGGGATGACATTATATACTGGTTGTCCTTCACAGTCTCTTGTTCCTTTCCTCCATTCTGATAGTGCATGTTGGGGGAGGAATGATGACCATGCAGTTTGGAAGAGTTTCCTAGTTAAAATTGCTTTTAAGCTACTGCGCTTAGATGTGTGACTTAAAATATTACCACAGTTTTCGGGGCTGGGAAGGTGGCTCAGTGGTAGAGCGCTTACCTTGCATGCCTGAGGCCCTGGGTTCGATTCCTCAGCACCACATAAGCAAAAAGAAAAAAGCCG